ACGTCGGGCTCGGTTAGTACTTGGATGGGTGACCGCCTGGGAACACCGAGTGCTGTAGACTCCTTTTTGCTGGTATTTCCCCTTGATTTGCGAGAAAGACCCGCCAGAAAAATTCCTATATAATGTCTACGGCCATACCACGTTGAAAGCACCAATTCTCGTCCGATCACTGAAGTTAAGCAACGTCGGGCTCGGTTAGTACTTGGATGGGTGACCGCCTGGGAACACCGAGTGCTGTAGACTCCTTTTTGCTGGTATTTCCCCTTGATTTTCGAGAACAACCCGCCAGAAAAATTCCTATATAATGTCAACGGCCATACCACGTTGAAAGCACCAGTTCTCGTCCGATCACTGAAGTTAAGCAACGTCGGGCTCAGTTAGTACTTGGATGGGTGACCGCCTGGGAACACCGAGTGCTGTAGACTCCTTTTTGCTGGTATTTCCCCTTGATTTTCGAGAAAAACCCGCCAGAAAAATTCCTATATAATGTCTACGGCCATACCACGTTGAAAGCACCAGTTCTCGTCCGATCACTGAAGTTAAGCAACGTCGGGCTCGGTTAGTACTTGAATGGGTGACCGCCTGGGAACACCGAGTGCTGTAGACTCCTTTTTGCTGGTATTTCCCCTTGATTTGCGAGAAAGACCCGCCAGAAAAATTCCTATATAATGTCTACAGCCATACCACGTTGAAAGCACCAGTTCTCGTCCGATCACTGAAGTTAAGCAACGTCGGGCTCGGTTAGTACTTGGATGGGTGACCGCCTGGGAACACCGAGTGCTGTAGACTCCTTTTTGCTGGTATTTCCCCTTGATTGGCGAGAAAGACCCGCCAGAAAAATTCCTATATAATGTCTACGGCCATACCACGTTGAAAGCACCAGTTCTCGTCCGATCACTGAAGTTAAGCAACGTCAGGCTCGGTTAGTACTTGGATGGGTGACCGCCTGGGAACACCGAGTGCTGTAGACTCCTTTTTGCTGGTATTTCCCCTTGATTTGAGAGAAAGACCCACCAGAAAAATTCCTATATAATGTCTACGGCCATACCACGTTGAAAGCACCAGTTCTCGTCCGATCACTGAAGTTAAGCAACGTCGGGCTCGGTTAGTACTTGGATGGGTGACCGCCTGGGAACACCGAGTGCTGTAGACTCCTTTTTGCTGGTATTTCCCCTTGATTTGCGAGAAAGACCCGCCAGAAAAATTCCTATATAATGTCTACGGCCATACCACGTTGAAAGCACCAGTTCTCGTCCGATCACTGAAGTTAAGCAACGTCGGGCTCGGTTAGTACTTGGATGGGTGACCGCCTGGGAACACCGAGTGCTGTAGACTCCTTTTTGCTGGTATTTCCCCTTGATTTGCGAGAAAGACCCACAGAAAAATTACTATATAATGTCTACGGCCATACCACGTTGAAAGCACCAGTTCTCGTCCGATCACTGAAGTTAAGCAACGTCGGGCTCGGTTAGTACTTGGATGGGTGACCGCCTGGGAACACCNGAGTGCTGTAGACTCCTTTTGCT